AAATAAATAAAAACATGTAATGGGACAAGGTATGATAAATTATGTTGAACATAAACGGAACTGATATCATTTCTTTCTGCGTGAATCATTACATTAAATAAGTCATTAGTTTGAACAATTCATTTGACAACTATTCACATACGTGTATAACTGGGTTACTTTGAAATTTTAAATGTAAGTTAAAATCAAATAACAGTTACTAAACCTATTTTGAATATGGTTTTCAAACATGGATATGTAAAAAAAGATTCTTAGCGTTGAAGAGCATTTGTTTAACTACTCACGGTTTCAGAAAAAAAACTAATATTCTAATATCTGAAAAAAACTAATATCTGAAAATTTTACCATGGAGTAGTAAACATCCCTTTCACGTTTTTAAATTTTGAAAGTAGCCAAGTCGAGCCCCCAACAGAGTGTGTTGATAATACTTGTTTCTGAATTATTTACAGGACATGTTCAATGTACGTTTTATATCGTGTTTCATTTTAACATGTACTTAAGGTTTGACACTAGTGTTATATAATGTTTTTACTCACTAAGCAAATAGGCTACTTAAATTAATAAAGTTTTCAAAGCTACTGTTTCTGTAAGGGAACTATCTTATGGTACAAAAGCGTACCCATGGTATAAGAATACATAATATACCATACCAATACTGATATATACATATTTTACAGCTGTTACAAAATAGAAGAAGGTAATACAAATTTTGCGCAACAATATGTTGATTGCATGGGGCATTAATATGATGAATTTGATTATTTTACGGTGATTTTTTATCGTTGAGACACTACCTTTTCACTATAAGGCAGATAGTTTTCTTTGGCCCCGCAACACCTACTATCTGCATTATGTTGCTTAAGACTGTAGAATCTTTCAAGAAAGTTACAAAAGTTAAACTCTTTACTTCACTAAGCTATCCCAAGTTGTTTTCTAAAGCCAAAGCTTTGTTACTTCTAATCACTATCAGATAAAGGCAAGAGCTTTTTCACTTCCACCCTAATAATTGATTATACTACCCTTAAATTTGCACGAAAGTGTTTAATCCTTTATAAGTCCATAATCATATGTTGTACGTTTTCAGTTACTTAATTGTTTTGTAGTTTTTTCCATACATTAAAAATAAAATCATAATTAAAATAAAATGAAAGTGCCTCAAAAATAGTTTACATTTACATAGTCGCTATCAAATTTTGTTTACCCTTACAGTAAACTGTCTATGATATACTATGTAAACTCCAATCAACCCTTGTTTCTAAATACTTTTAAATTTTAATAACACACTTTCTTACTTGTGCTTTTATCTACACTCTTATGTTGCCTATATAACTCTTGTTAAAAAGTTTACAAATAAATTATGTTATATCTCATTGAAAAACGTTTCCCATTTCACGATAACAAGTTTGACACATCTTTCAATTTGTTACAAAATTTTCTTTATCTGATTACATATAATGAAAGACAAAATACTTTAGGCATGACTCTAAAAATAATATATTTTAAAATTTACAGTGATAAAAATATATTGTTACATTTTATTCTTAAAGTTGTTTCTAAATCGTATGACGATAATGTATCATATTCATTTTTGAAGGATCACGTTTTTGTACGGGTGAAAAATATTATTTTATCTTACAAAAAATATTTATTGATTTAAAACAAATGTATTCCTATATAGTAGCTTAAACCAAACAATTATTTAAGTAGTCATTGTAAAGCATGTTTTTCACTATAATGAATCACTTAATGACTTAATCAATGACACTTAATCACTATAATGAAATTATCAAATTAGTTTTAACAATATTTTAAGTATACTCACAGCATATTAAATCATATTAAGATCCTACTCCTAAGTCAAGAATGCTATAAAGTGGGCAACAACTTTTTATCAACCTAATGTACACGATTTACACTGTGAAATGTCGTAGACTGTGGTGGATGCTTAAAAAAATTTAGTTTGAAAAATTATAAAAATAATTTTAACTCTTGTAAATAACTAGAAAAGTCAACGAATGTTAGATATATATATATATATGTATATAAATATATATAAGTGTGAGAAAGCGACTAAGAGAATTCTTCAAGAGTCAACCACTCCTCAACTTATCTAATGGAGGAGGTTACTGTAATGGTGGCTGGTGACAAATGATAAATGATGATTGGCCATCGCCCAAGTTCCCTCTTAATATTTTCCCTTAGCCTTCTTATAAACTATAATCTTTTGGGCGCTTTAAGGATTTAGGTTATTATGAGTCAGTAGCTTTTTTATGGTTCGAAACTGGACCCAGCTGTCCCTGATCATTGGGCTTTAAATAAATGATCCCGACTGATGAAACAGCTGATCTTAGTCAGTAACATAGCTACACAGAACTACAAAGCTCACTCCATTCTACACTCACCCTTCACTCATATTTTAATGCGCACCTTTACTATTAATAAAGTGTTTTTTTTTTTGTTTTTTTGGAGTTATAGAAATGTTACCATTACAATATTTTCTTTATCAAAATGGATACTAAGTAAACTCATCAAAATTAAAATATAGATAATTTTTACTCGAAGGCAATGGAATGTATTTAAAATGCAATTCATTAAGACCAACACGTTTCCAAAAATCCAATAATTAATTATGAAAAATGTATACAAGCTACAAAGCTACATAAGGTATAGTTAAAAATAATGAACTGGAATTAAAGTAATAATTTAAGCTATTGACTTAACTTTATATTCAACAAAAAGTCTAAATAAGATTAAAACCAGGTTTAGTGGACCATTTTTTTTTTTTTAATTTCCAATGGTGTTAAAACACATTATTAAAATAAAATAAAATTAACGGTTTTATATTGTTAAATACTTTTGGTAATTATTCAGGTTACCTTTATAATATCTTCAAAGGAGTAAGAGAACATTATACTTTTTTCTATCGGAAACCTAATGAAGTGTTTGAGAAACAGCAACACCAGCATTGGTGGTTGGTGGTTGGTGGTTGGTGCAGTTGCCACAACAGAAGATAGCTGAAAGATATTGACTTGGATGTAAACTGTACTCACATTCACCTGTAAATTACTCCAAGTGTTTATACATTACAGTTGACTACGTGTGTGAATGATACGACTTTGTATTTCTTTTAAACGTTCTCCCGAGAAAAAGAATTTTAGCATTAACTTTGTAAGGTTCTATGATTTAAAAATAACTTTATTTTGTATAAGCAATGAAAATTTTGAGTTTTCAATATGAAAACAATAGAACAATGATACAAATACACAAAATAATTAACTTACTTTGTAGGTGATAAATATTAAATCGTGTTCAAACTGAAACCAAGAACTACTCTGAAAAAATACCTTACAAAATTATTAATAGCACGAATATTAGAACAGAAACGGCATTGATCACAAACAAATGACGTCACTAGTATAAAGTAAACGTATTTGTATTATCTATCTATATATTATAATTATTTAAATGAAGCTTTCAAAAACGTACCAACCACGTGTTAATATTATTTTAAGCTCGACAGTGACGTCATTTGTTTATGTTTGTGATCCATACCTTTTCTGTTCTAATATCCGTGATTAACAGTCACAATAGTTTTATTAGCTGTTTGCTGATGCACTGCTGTCGATCTTGTGCCTTTGTGTTGTATACTGCTTCCATAAGGATTACATTGAAACTTTGAGACCCCTTGAGGCGTATTTTTGGGAGATTTTTTAACGTCAAGTATAAGTTGGCACTCAATGATATAGTCTTTATCGCCATGTAAAATTTGAAAACTATTGCTTCAGCTGTCTAGGAGAAGTTTGCGTATGACGAAATGCACAACAGTTTACGTTAAGAGCTTCGCTCGCTCCGCTCAATAATTCAGATTTAAACCATTGTACCATTGTTGTTGAGAAAGTTGGTCAGCAACACTAGCCCTTTGAAAATGAACTCAGAAATAATTGTAACGCAAGGGAAGCCCTAAAGGAATTACATTTTTATTTACTATTCACAGGTGCGCTAAGCCATAAGTTTGAAAATGACACCTCAATCGTGAACATTGATTAAGTAAGACGGCTGGAACAGGGATGTAACGGAGAATACCCTAATTTTATTAAGGATATATAAGATATGGTGCTGTACATTTATTACCACAAAACAATACATTTATTTAAAAACCCAAAAATAAAATAAAGAAGTTAACCAAACAGTTTTAACTAGTTTCTTACCAATAAATTGTTACAGTATTGGAGCCAATCACACCAACATGCAAATGTCATTGAATTACCATTTACATTTAAACTGGACATCAAATGGAATACCTTTACTCTGTTCAATTAAATGGACAATACAATCTTACTTGGGAATTCCTGTAATTGAACGGCTCATTCCCTTTGATCTCAATTCCAGTTATCCAATCAAACAATCCAAAGTTTCCAATACAATTAAAATAGTTTAATCAGAAACTATTGATTTACATGTACTGTACATCCGGTTACGAACGGTGCTATACAATAACTAAATTGTGTGTTTTTATTAAAACACTTTATGAGGGCCGTTTGGGTACTTTGAGGTAGCTATCTATGTAATATTTCTCAAATCAGATATTTCAATTCCGTAATGCTCTCTTCTAATCCGTCCCGAACTTAACGTCCGTGTTTAAGAACGGGGTATCCCGGTAGCCAGCTGATCTATGGTGTATGGTTCGAAGAAAGATATTCTTGATCATCGGGATTCCAATAAATGATCCTGACTGATGAAACAGCTAGTCTTAGTCAGTAAAAAACTAAACAAGGCATCACACTCCATTCTACACTCATCCTTCGCTCATATTTAGGTTAAAATACACACGTAGCATATACCATTAGCCCAACTCATAATGGTAATCTATTGGTAGAGTGTGAGGCTTTGGTCCAAATCTTGCGAATAGCCTTTAGCTATATTATATGGTTGTGATCCTCCAGACGTAGCCAAAAGTCCTAGCATGTGAATATGGGACATAAAAAAACTATGTGTTTCAGATGCATTCACCTGTCTTCACGTCGGACTCTGGAGTCTACCACAGTCACAACCACAGTGACAGACAGGAGGTGGTAGACGTGGCGTCTCAGTTCGTGGACGATCTGCTACGTCAGGCCCAACAAGAGGTTCAGAACAGAAAGGTACAGAATGTGTTACCGTAAATGTTACCAAATTACTTACCTTTTTATTTGTTAAGTATTTTTTGTACCATGTAAAAAAATGTGGCAAGTGTGGCTTCGATTCTCCTAAAACTTTCTATGTCAAGAGCTTTGATTTTTTTTAAATAGGTGGATGATTAAACTTAATTAATGTATAAATAACATGTAACAACTTCAAAAACTTACAATTGATTAAAGAATAATTTGTGTCTTGGTTAGCAACAGCGATAGCTCTCAATTGTATGAATTAGCTATCTTCAGCATTTCCCAAACGTAGACACAAAGTAACCTTGGGTCATATATGCATACGTTCATAAAAATAGGTCCTGGCTGTCAAAGTTTGTAGGTACATTGTTTCTCGATGTCTGGTCTGAATTAGTTCAACAAGCCTTACAAAGACCCTTCCAGAAAAGATTTTCAACAAAAGATCCAAGAATCTAAAGAACTTCATGAAAGTGGATCACGTTTCTTTGGTCCATTGCCTGTTGTATTAAATGCCTCAATAAATGGTTTTATTTTATTTATTTGTTTATGTTACAGATGGCACAAGGAGCGCCGCAGCCCGCATCTGTTGAGCTTGAAGATGAGGACGACATTAGTAAGTGAAAAATCATCATTTTTAGGTTATGAATTTATCGCACTAGTCTATATATTAATAGGCAAGCTTGTTTCTTTAAAAGCTTTTTTCTCAGCTCGTGTGCATCGCAGGGAAAATCTACGCATACTATTGGAAAGATACTTTCCTGTAGATGTGCAGAATCCCTTTATAAATTAAAGTAGGCTCAAAATAAGCACAAAATTGATATAAACTAACAAATAACATGGGCCCTATGGGTTTCCATGCTGGTGACGAAATATAAACAGAAAATCACAACAAATGGAAGAAATTACAATCACATGTTTTATTTGCAGTGTGGGGAGGAAATAGAGAATTCTGTACATTGAAATAGAGAACAATGCACATGAAAAGTTATGACAATAGTACAATGGAATAGATAAGTTTTTTGTCTCTATGAGATTTTAGCTAATGGTGAAGCTGATGTAACTATAAACTTAATGGGTCATGTAATAATGCTTGTCAATTTATTTAATAAGGTATTTATTACCATATAAACTTTATTGAAAATTTTAAAATGTTTGAGCAACCGGGAGGTTTTTTAAACATTTTTAAGTTTCCAATAAAGTTTTTAAGCTGCATACTGATTTCATGTGTGTATCGTTGACACTTTCGACACATGAAATCAGCATGCTCACTGTAATCACCAACATCCAGACTTTGTAGTGAAATTTTAAACACTTTCTTTGTAGCTGTGTGTGTTTTCTTTTCTTTGTAGCTTAACAACAGTAGTTTTCTATTTATACTAAATGTATTATCTATTTTTCAGCCACAATATCAGGCTTGTTGAAAAGAGGGAACCGATGGCACTCGAGGGCTCGGCAGGGAGCGAGAGGGTTGGTCACAAGACTTATGACGACCCTACGGCTGTGTAAATAAACAGAGCTTGTAGCAGCGAGCATACACGGTGATCAATGAGCATGCACCGAGCATCAGTGAGCATCTAAACTGAGACGCAGTGCTGCAAACTGTGTATAGAAACAGAACAGGAGCATTAGGTCAATAACAGTGGCGGTATATCAGTGTTTGAGTGTAAAATAAGTGTGCAGATAGAAGTACTACTTTTCCTACCAAAACCTTCAACGTTTGATAGCTTTTGAAAATGTATATATGTATTTATAAGTACTTATGGAAAAACCTCTGAGTACCTAGAATATTTTTGACGCTGTGCACAACACAAGAGGTTTAGTTGATGTATGAAAAGTTGTATAGGTGGGAAATAACAAAGTATAATGATTATTTGTGTAGAATATGTATAATAAATTTGACATACTGTATAGCTTATAAGCGCCTCAATCCGGGTTTGAAATGTTTTATACTGTGTAATGAGATATTAATATTGTATTTTTTGTTTATTGAAAAGTAAAACAACTTTTTGAAAGTCACATTTCAAAAAACACAAAATTTATATGGGACAATGTAGGCCTACTATTGCGTCAGCAACGATGATTTTCAAAATCCTTCGGTTTACGAAGTTAAATCTATGTACAGATAATTTAAACATAGACATTGATGTAAAATTAAATCATATTGACAAACTGGCCATTTAATTGGGGATTTGTACCATAGGTACATTGGCCTAGATTAGGTTGCTGTATTGAGAAAGGGTTAAGACTCTCATTAAGAAACTCTGTTCACAACTTGGTTTCAGGAAATTTGTATTGAATGCCTTTTTAGCACTTCAGACAGTAATTGTTAATATGTGCCATCATGATACACACATTATCATGGCAGAATGTGAAACATCTCAGAAAGAAATTTAGGGTTGTATCTAGTAATTTTCCGAATTGATTCTGAACGTAGGCCTTTAAAAGTTTGAAACAAAGCTATGTTTTAAAAATGCATTGCTTCATTTGATTGAATAAAAAAAATTGAAAACTTAGCAACTAAGTTTCAGAAACAAAGTTGTAATCTAAAATAGATATCTCAATTAATTATGTTTACTATACAATTTACCATGTGAAGCTACCAGAGTGTCGTATTCATAATAATAACTGCCACTTAGAATAGTGATCATCAGTGTCTTAACAATGTTTAACTCTCATCAGACCTAGTAGATCAGTAAAAGTGATTATTTGGCCCCTTTTCAGGTTAGGGTAGATAAAAATGTATAGAACATACATAAATTTAAATCGATTTAAAAAAAATGAAAAAGCACACATTTACAATCGGTAATTAAAATTAATTTCAATTGAAAATTTGACAAAAAATCCTAAAAGGTCCGAAAAACTTAGAAAGGGATCCCTCGGCCTGGCTTATGGATCCCTTCATTTCCCCATACGGAATTTTTCCTTCCCCATTGAACGTTAAGCCACTGATGGTGTAAAGTGACCATTATAGTGACTATGAACAGTGGAAGTTTTGTAATGTTACCAATAGATGTCTTATGGTGTTTCCCAGTCTATGTTACCTAACGTCGTTGCTACGATAGATTTTTAGTACAAACTTTGATATGCTGCATAACTTTGTGACATAATTTCTGAAGAAAAGGTGTTAGTCTAACCTCAAAATTAATCTGAGATCGATGTGTTCTTGTATTTTTTACCTGAATTGTAATGAAATAGTTTTGTCCAAATTTAAGGCTGCTAGATTTAATTTAATTTTAAATATTTCAACGTGAAGAACAGTTGGTGACGAATTCTAAAATAACCTCGTCATATTTACTGAAAAATTTAGGTTCGGCTAAAACCAAGCTTCATTCTAAATACGTTTCCTCTAATTAATTTTTAAAAGTCGCTTTAAAGCTTTAATGCATTATAAAAGAGTGTGCATTGTAAAGTTAAAATTATGTAATTTAAACAAGCTTTTTACAAATCAATTTTAGTTTTCTCCGTTATTGAATTTGCATACACTGCTTTGATAGAAAAGGTCGATAAATTATACATTATTACAACAGTAAAAGCTACCAACTGTTCGATTTCTAAATTGTATTTATATACTATTTTACCTTAAATCGGTGTGCCACTCCAGCTATAGATTACTGTGATCGGTGTCATTGAATACTATATTTTACCAATCAAATTGTTCATTTATTTAATCAGTGTAAAAATGTTTGATGGTTAAATGTTATGGTAAAATACATCAATGAATTTTATGAAACAAAAATATCAAATGCAATAAATATCAAGCAATGCAATCTCAATGTTTATTTTCTAGTGAATGTTTCTTTGCCGTCAAGACAACTGGGAAGCAAATGGTGGACAATACTTAATCTTAATACATATCTAACTAATAATCTGTAAAATCTATTTTTCTAATAGATTCCTTATAAACTATTGTTACAAAACCAAAAACGTTATTTTAATGTCACATTTTGTAAATTTTGGGTGATTGACGATTGTATATTTTAAAGAAATCTGTATACTATTAAAATTATCGCCCAGCTTAACATGGGAATGAGGAGTGTTAGAATAAAATGTCAACTGTGCTATCCAAAAACTATTTTTGCTTCGGTCTGTAAACTATTTTTTTTCCTTTATAATTTTTTTTACTTCAAAAAATAAATTGTGCTCCTTAACATTTAAACGTTATATTCCTATCATGTTTGAATTAATTTTAATTCCATGTATTGTATTCATACTCCTTACAACAATTACGTTGAATGGATTTTTAGTCAGTTTTGGGTGCAAATGAATTTGATTTATTGTAATTTTATCAATGCATCAGAATTGTTTTGTATGTCAAATAATTAGTTGTTTGTTATTTTACTTCGTAACAAAATATATTCTAAACAAGAATAATCATGATTTACTTATTTTTATAATCCTTACTATTCTGATAAATTTGCATTTGATTGAATGCTAACTAAAATCATTAATTGGGTTTTGGAAATCATGTAAGCTTTTTACTGAGAATTTAAACAATATCTTAGTTCATTTATTATTGAAAAAACTACTGAGGTTCTTTGACATTTTAATTATTGTTGACTGAACAGAATATGTTTTTACGTTTTTAAAACATAATTACTAAACGAATATATTATTTCATCCATCATTATATTGTTTTATCTTACCCCTGCATTGGCCCTATATTTTTACTTGAACTAACTGCGTTCTTCTTTGAATATTATGAAATATTATGTAGCCTACTTATCGAACATTTCAAACTGTTCATAATGAAGTGTCACCATCAGATCAGTATTTATTTACCCAATTTTCTATGAATAAGACTGTCGAGGTAAGAAAATTAATCATTGGCTTACCAAAAGCAATTAGCCTTGTTCAAACACTCCAACTTCCCTAAAGTGACAACCTTCCAACATAGCGTGGAAAATTGTAATTTTCGATACACTACGGTAAAATGACCTGTTTTCGTTACAATGTGTAACACCTGCGTGGTTAAAAATTCCATCACACACAAATGAACTATTGTTTTGTTTTAAAACTTTGCATTTGTTATATAAGTAAAACTATATAGGTTTTTCATGTTAGTAATTGTTTACGTTTTCTTCAGAATCTATACATAGGCATCTGAATAACTAATCAAATAACGGATACATTCTAATTAATAAACCATCCATTTTTATACTTTAAACATAGTGTAATGAAATTACATTGGAATTTAACAACATGATACTGCACTAGTGATTGGATGATAACCTGAGCAAAATTAACAAGGAAAGATGATATTTTCAGTGGGAGTTTAAATAGCAAAAGAGCTAACAAAGCTCAGCCAATGATGACTCCTGTTACAATGCCAGAGACAAGTTAATTAGGATATAACATTGTTGTTAAGTCTGGCAGTCAAACACTCTGATTAAGTGTTTTTGTAACAATAGACTCTCATCTTAGTTATAATCAAAGGATACCATAAAATAACGATCAAACTGGAGAAACTATTTTGAAAATTTCAAACTATAAAGAAAATACCCCTGCCGCAGCAAATCTGCAGACTAAGCGAATTTACATTTTCCTGGCTGGATTTCTACTAAAAACCTTATAAATTTATTTGGAGTGTTAAGTTGTAAGTGCTCAGGAAAATATTGAAATTTTGTGATCAATGCCACAAAACTAATACATACATGCAGATTTATATGCATTTTTTAATAAAAATGTTATCCTTTCATGAAAAATTCACAGAAAGAAAAACATGCTGGGAACAATATTTAACACGATATCAAAGAGACAGAACTTTGAGAGTAATTCCAAGAAACTTTCTTTAAAATAAAGAACATAAAAGAAAATATCTTGTCAGATACGTCACTCAAGCCTTGTGGTTTGTATCGGGACAAAACATTCAGATAAATGCGGACTGAACTTGATTTCATCTCAAAGCTGTTCAGGTGGATTGGACATCAAAGGTTTTCAATGGGCTTTGTCAGAATCAGACAGACCTCTAGATCCTTTTACAACATACGGGTTAAACCATAATGTTCTAACTAGCCGTGCCGCCGTGCCTATGTGTTTTCTTTAACATTACACAGTTCCTGTCTTTAAAATGTGACAATAAACATAAACAGTATCCAATTCGCAAGTCAGATTGAAAACAATATTGCAACAACTGGTCTATTTGCACTTACTGGTGGGCTTCCGCTCGACAAAAATGTGCAGTGTGAAAACTTGCATTTCACTACTGTTCGTACGCTACTGACTACTTTAAAAGGGTAGGCCTACAGTGTTTATTAATGTGTTCAACTATACATGCCGTCGCCTATAATGACGTCATGCCAGAGGAGCATCACGGCCTGTTTATTTGGTGTTGCCTTGTAATGTTTAAGTATTTGTACGGATTTACTAGTATTTTTGAATAGTTTGCAGTATGGCGTAAAATATCGTACGTAACTCGTCCAAAATGTGTTTACCGGACTCGTATGGCAATCCCATACTCGACTTCGTCTCGCACGGGAACGACCACACTCGTCGGGTAAACACTTATTTTCAGGACTAGTAACGTAATCTATCTATATCTATACTATTATACAGGGTGATTGATATAAGTGTGCCAGCCGTTTTATTCGAAAACTATAAGAGATATCAAAAAAAGTTAAATGGTAAGTGCCTTGGATTCTTTATTTAAAAAATTGTAGTCAAGTCAAAAAAATATTTTAGCCGCCATTTTTCCAATATGGCCGCCAACTTTGATTTTTCTTACGAAACACCCTGTATTTTATGATGTATTCTGGTAGAAAAAGTAATTTTAAGACGATTTTATTCTTGTGATTTTTTTCATAAACCTAACCGTTTTAAAGATAATAATGGTTAAAGTTTTGAAATTTCTGCATGAGAAAGAGTTTCGATAAAGGCCTAAGCAAGCATGCCAGCTGTTTTGCTGGAAAACCATTCAAAATTTCACAACTTAAACCATTATTATCTTTGAAACGGTTAGGTTTATGAAAAAAATCACAAGAATAAAAGTGTCTTAAAATTACTTTTTCTACCAGAATACATCATAAAATACAGGGTGTCTTAGAAGAAAAATCAAAGTTGGCGGCCATATTGGAAAAATGGCGGCTAAAATAACTTTTTTGACTTGACTATAATTTTTTTAGTAAAAAATCCAAGGCACTTACTATTTAACTTTTTTTGATATCTCTTACAGTTTTCGAATAAAACGGCTGGCACACTTATATCAATCACCCTGTATAAAAATCTAATGGTGTCTGTATGTGTATTACTAATAGGTGCAAAAACTACTGAACCAACTGGGCTAAAATTTTACAAAAATATAGTTACCATACCAAGGACCATTATAGGACTGTTCACATTTCGATACTAACCGTAGGCTTTGCCCCTTTGGCTTTAAAAGTTCTGAGGTGAACATTTTAAAAGTAAATATTGATTGGTCTCCATGGCTGTGATGAGAACACTAACAATGTTTGTTTACATTTGTTTAACATTTAAATGTAAACAAGAAGAACTGCTAAACTGCATATTTCACAATTTCAGACAGCTGATACAAAGAAATTAAATATAATATTTTCCATAAATATGAGGTAGGTTTATTTTAATCTAACCTTTTATCATGGATTATTTATTCTAAAACTATGTCAATGATTATAGAAAAAAAAATCATAGCCGTTGCTGTATAAACTCAGGCTCTGCTTTGGATTTTTTAAAGCGTCTTAAGTTAATAATCTTAAGTGAAAATAATGTTATTGATATGTTTTCATGGAAACAGTATGAAAATTACAATGTATAACTTAGATATTTTGTATGAATTTGGAGGCTACTTTAAATAAATTCTAACTGCTTCACATGTGTTAGATTAACTTATTATAACTTGCACATCACATTGTTTTTTATATGTATATTTAGGTAAATTAAGTTATTGTGTTTTGCTAAACCTATGCTTAAATTAAACTAAAGAATATCATCAATAACTAAATTGTCGTTGATTTTTGTTTTCTAAAATCTGTTGTTTATGTGTAACTATATTTAATTATCAAATGGTAATACAAAATACTCTTATTTTATCTTAACATAGCTTTCAGTTCACATTTACTTTATTTGATACATTTATTATTTGTGTTTTGCCACACCACTGATTAAATTAAACCAAGGAAAATATCATAAAACTAAGCAGTACACAGTGTTCTTTTGTTTCTAAAATCAATGAAATATCTGTTACTTGTTTTCTTAATGGTAAGTGTGAAAATGTAAAGGCAATGGACGATGGAACTGATTAAAAGAACACTGGTTTGTATATTAAGTTGTTTGTTGATATTTTTGTATAGTAGAATCAGAGATGCAATGGAACATATACTGTATTTGCTAGGCCTATTACATTTTTTAGTCCTTGATGCTTTGATAATCATATTAGTTTTGTCTGCTGTCTTTAATTATAAATTATTTGTTTGAAATTTTTTATAGTACCTATAGATATAGTTTCTTTAATATTTCAAAAGACTGTATTGATAAGGCACAGCAATATTTCTAAAGTTTATAACAGCTGACTTAGTTTTACTAATGATTTATTGTGAGTGAAAAAACTGAAGATGAAAGGATTTGTGATTTAATATAAAGAAGAGTTTAATATAAAGATATTTAAATTTAATAATTAGTATTTTTGCAACTTCAAAATTGAAATTTAAAATGTCAATAATAAATTTAAAAATGTGTAATTAAGCGAGATGAAGGTAAATCTGGTAAATTATGTATGTCAAAGTTTTACTCGAAGATTTGGTCAGTTTTTCTCATATCAGCCTACACAAGATTTAAAATTAATCAAAACCAAAATGGTGATAGGTATCCACTACTTACCAGATTTAAAAGACATAACTTAAACGTTTCTATTAAGGCCATAAAAGTTAAATTTTGTTTCTAAAAGCGTTGGCGGATGTGTAACTATTATATGCAAGAGACAAAGATTAAAATGTTTTTATTTTGTGTCCTCTTCCCGTTGCAAAGCACGGGTACAACAGCTAGTACTATTATAAAAAAGAGGTGGTGTCTGTGTGTGTGTATGGGAAAAGTAAACGCGAAAACTACTGGTCGGATCGGGCTGAAATTTGGCATGATGATAGCTCACATTCCCGATTAACATATAGGCATATTTTTATCCCAAAAATCCTTTCGGGCTCCGCCCCAGTGGCTCTGGAGTTTCCCATGTTAACCTTATGAGAAATGAAATTATTGAATCTTAACAGCTGTTTCAATTAAACAAGTTGGTTCTGTTCTGTGATGTTCAATAGCATTAAAGTTACAAGGATTACCAACAGGGTGTAGCACTAGCACTATTTCTTTTACATTTATGACAACAGCTAATTTGCAACCAAAAGGTGAGTGAGCGTAGCGAACGAACT